TTTTCCACGTCTGATTTAAAGTACGGAGACTGAGGATAAGGTTAAGAGACAAGCTAGTTAAGAGACAATGTGCAGCCCAAACATATCTTAAAAGAACCTGGAATCGGTCAAAACCCAGTATGACCAACTGGGCTTGAACCACCAACCCTTCAGTTAACAGATGAAGGAGCTCATGGATTACCCAGCTGAAGGCAGGCACTGATCCTCTAGACAATGTCTCTCTAGCCCCAAGCTTCCTCAGCCAGGGCTCTTCTGCCTTGGCACATTTGGCCAGCTCCAGAGAAAGAGCCCAAGAATCCTGTGGACATATCTGTAGCTACCATAACGTGATATCATAAGAATTGGAATTTTTTGTTGGTGACAAAGTTACAGTACTCTCATGTACCCACATTCAAAAGGAAGTGATTTCACTCATATGTGGGAGATAAACTAACAAACTCATGGATACAGAGAACAGACTCTTGGTTACCAGAGGAGAAGAGGATGGAGAGAGGGCGAAAAGGGTAAAGGGGCAAGTGTGTATGGTAACGGACCGCGACCAGGCTTTCGGTGGTGAACACGATGTAGTCTATACAGAAGTCAAAATATAATGATGTACACCTGGAATTTACATGATGTTATAAACTAATGTTACCACAATAAAGCAATTAATTAAATTGTGTTAATTTCTTGAGGAGATTAGTCAAAATAAAGATGTCATTATCCCACCCAATTTAAATAGTGTTTTAGAGTGTTTTTCTCTGGATCCTGTAGCAAAGGCCTTTACCTGGTTTTGGTGCCCAGCAGCCGAGGCCAAAGGCATGGAGGACTTGGCATGCTCTGTGGGGTCTCCTGCCACAAAGATGTGTGGCCCTTCCCTCCCTGCCTCTTCCCACTAAACTGTGGGATGCTGCTCCCAATTCCTCCTCCGTGGTGAGCTTGTGACTGTGGTAACAGCTCTTTGTTCCTGGAAATCCTGTTCCTCAAACCTGGACTTACCAGACCCGCCTTTTGCGAGTAGCTTTCTTCCCCTTTTTAGTCCCTTAAAATTTTTGCTCTGATCTCTAGCATACGTCCTCGGCATGATCCTGCAAATCTTTGTTGTTGTTGTTCTTACGCTGCTATTGTGCTTTTCATTTTCAAGAGCTCGAGCTCGTTTTCAAAGTTTGTCTCTGGATGAAGAGAAAACAACGGACACGAGGCCTTACCTTCCACAGGCAGCCTAAACTTGGAGGGTGAGGACGTCACTTCCTGTTATGTCTGCTGACCGCCATTGGCTGGGAGGGTAGAGTGGGCGGGGAAGTTGTGCGCAGGGGGCGGGGCATGGGCCGGAAGGAAAGTAACGCCGGCGCTGTCCTGCCTAGGGCGTGTCTCATGTGGATGACGCGGCTCCGGGGGCAGCTGTTTAGACGTCCGTTACTCCTGCTCTAGGAGACTTCCTGAGCCACTGGGACCGAGTCAAGGACTGTTGCATGAGTTTGAGTGCAAGTTCTGTGTAGAGGAGCTCTGGGGGGCTACAGGGGGCAGGGCGGTGGGGGTGGTTCTAGAGAAGGTGAGTGGACGGCGTAAGGAATGTAAGGGTATGCCAGGGCGGCAGAAAGCAAGTTTTCAGATTCCCCAGATATCCCCCCAAATGGCTGTGCTTCCTCAGGGTAAGCTGGTTCGATTATCCCTCATATTTTCTTCTCTCTGCCATTTTCCTGACTCTACCAAATTGACTTTGTAATATGTGGTGGGGAGTTATGGTGTATGGGTTTTATTCTATTTGGGAGTCCAGGAGAGCTGCCTTGATCCCGAGCTTCTAGCTCCGTTTTCTACTTTTTGGTTCTTCCCCATCTGTACTTCCTTCCTTTCAAATTTACCTCTCTAGCTCTTCCGCTGACTCCCTGCTGTGGACAGTGAGGTTCTCTCCTGTATGTCGCGCGAAGCCTACCACCGACTTTAAAGGAGGAACAGCCTTGGCCAGGTCCATTGTCTCCACTGTCTGCTGCTTTGCTACTGTTGGCGTCAGCTGTTGTTTTTCCCTTTGTTGTCTCTCCGTGAGGGAGTGTGTGTGTGTTTCTCCCATGTGCTTCCACGGAGGGTGAGCTTTTGGGGACACCTGAGAAAGTGGCTGCTGGGAACCTCAGGCCATCTTCTGTAGGTTCTGCCTCTTCTCTGGCTGTATGTTCTTTCCCAGGTTGTTGACTTCTGTTGGAGGCCACCATCCCCTCACCTCTGCATTTGGGCATTGCTTGTCTAAGGGCTCTGAGATATTTGGAATGTTCTGGCAATCCTGCCCTTGAGGAGCTCTGCCCAACGGGCCCACATAATCCCTGGGGGTAACTGGGAAGTTCCCTTCTCTGCCATGGTTATCACACACACTTCCTGCTTTGAAAGCCTCCTCGAGTTAGGAAAATTCTCTATTCCTACCTCTACCCCAAAAAGCTTGGCACTTCATTCCATGACTCTAAAATGGACTGGGTTCCAAGCTCCTCAGAGATACCGCTGTTGGTCCAGGGACGATAGGTCAGGGCTGTGGTTGCCAGCATTGTCTCTGTCAGACGTGGCCTCCTCCAGTCCTGGTGCCACCACTGGTCTGGTGGGGACAAGGGGCTACATCCTATGATTTCCTCGTGGGTCACGTGGCTGTAATGGTGCCCCACACCTCACAGTGTTGTGCAGATGAAGATAACCCAACTGCTCACTTAGCATAGTTTGTGCTTCCTGGCATGATGTACATTGACAGAATGATATTTTTTCTTTAATTGTGTAACACAATATGCAGAAGGCTGCATAAAACATAAATGTATGGCTATAAGTTAACATAGCCCCCAACTAGATCAATACCTAGAACATACGAGGCTTCCAGAAGCTTCCCAAATGCCTCTTCCTGGTCACATCTCCCTCCTTGGCCTTAGCAGTAACCTCAATCTTATTTTCGTGATGTTTCATTCTTTGTTCACGTATTTTATAATTTTGTTTATTACACACTCCTCACAGGTCTGGATTTTAATCTGTAATCATATAGCATATATTCTCTCATGCCTGGCTTTGTTCACTAAGAATTATGGATTTAACAATCATCAGTGATTCTTCCATTGTGGTTGCTAATGAAATAGACCACAATTTAGTTATCCATTCTATTAATGGTGGACATTTTGGTTGTTTACAGTCTGTGGATCTTTCGCACAACAAGGCTATGGTCCTTCTTGTGCAGGTGTCCTGGGCACGGTAGATTACACAACAAAGAGTGGAATTCTGGGGTCCTGTGTTATGCCTACCCAAGACTTCTGAGGAAAAAAGAAAAAAGAAAAGAAAATGTATAAAGCAAAGCATACAGATTATCCAATTCATATGAACGGAATAAAACAAAACTGAATGCAGGCGATGTATTGGATATATAGATGGAAGCTTACATGTTAAAGTACTCATCAGTGTGTTTTCTGTGTCCCTTCTCCCCGCTCATTCAAGGTTGATGTCTTCACAGATCCAACTGGAATGAACTGGGATGGCTGGATTAATATCTATCACTGATCATTTATTGCCTTTTGCATTGAATTTCATTTCATATTATATTAAAGTTACCAGGTCTGAATTACTTGTTACATTTGCACAATAAATGTTTTTCTGAAAATAAAAATAATTAAAAACAAATAATAAAAATAAAAAATAAAAGTAACCAGCCAAAATAGTCCTCATGCAAAAGACACATATCTTTGGCTGGCCAATTCCAATTCCCCTCAAGAGCAATTGTTGTTAAGAAATCCTTGCAAGACTGGAAATTCAGCTCTAGAGGCAGTTCAGGTTCCACTCATTTCACTTATCTCAAAGAGAGATATCTCTGGGGAATATCTAGCCCATCACTAATTCCTAGGACTGAAGAAAAAAGAAGGAAAAGGGAAAGAAAAATGGCCATAAGTGCACCCTCACAAAAACCTAGAATCTTGAGTGTCTTATTCACAAATATTAGTAAAAAAAAAAAAAAAGGATTAAAACAAAATTTGGATTCATAACTAGGGAGCTTTGTATTACTGTACCAGATTCATGGCAGTAATTTTAAAACAATAGCTGTTGAGACTCTGTGTGTGTGTGTCTATATGTATGTTATGTATGTCTGATATTTTGCCTCTGCTGGTATAATTTCTAAAGAGTTCCATTCAATTGGTTTAAAGTAAGCACTTATATAAATTATTTCTAAATGTAATAGAAATTAGACCAAATGTCTTTCAAGTTAACATGATATAAGTAATCCTTGATAACTGAAAGCTTATTTAAGGGTGTTGGTTTGATTAAAATGGACACGTTCTCCAAGTTGTCAGCAATGGATATGATGCAGACATGCAGCCTTTATTATACATTTACGGGTCATATAAGCTGATATTATCTCTATTATAAAACTGCTTAGCTAAAATAATAACTTAAAATGGTGGCTAATTTTGTCTAATGTCTCATGAAGTTTTGTAGGCAATCTAAATAATTATTGGGAACAAGTAGACTAAATAGATGTGGAAAAGATAAAAGTGCTTTTTAACAATAATTATGTATTATGTCATGTGTATTTAAAATAACTTCCAAAGTCTTTCTGGTAGCTTGAAACTTTGAAGTTTTGCTAGACAAAATTAAATGAAAATTCATTGGATATCTGGGTCATTTTCAAATAAAATAACATACTGAAAATTTTTGTTAAATATGTATAAGTTTATCTACTTTTGGCTTCTTGTTACAGACAAACTAAAATACTTTTGGGCCTATTACTAAATACGTCTTGTATTTTATTAAACATTGTACTATGAATTAGCATGTTTCTGGAAATTATGAAAAACGTTTAGAATGCTAATATCAAAGACAATTCATAATTGCTTTTTAGTTTCACTAAGGTCTGCAAGGTTTAAAAATTCTACTAAAAATTAATAAGGAAAATATCTTGGTATTCAAGGAAAGCAAGATATATGTTTTCAGTAAGGAAGGCATAAAGAATGGAAATATTTTTGAGAGGGCGGAGCAAAATGGCGGGGTGAGCTGACCCGGGATTCTCTCCCCTCCAAAATACAACAAAAGATTGGAAGAACTGAATTTCAGAGAATAAACATAATGCCAGCTCGTTAGAGACCTACAATACCAAGAAGGGGAGATCATAAACCTAGCTTTACACCTTCGGAGGCCTGGAACGGTAGGAGAGAACATCGCTCCCTCCCCTAGAGTCTGCGATCGCTGGGCGCGGGTCGGGAAGGAGCGGGGAGGGGCCGCGGACCGGGGATCCTCCAGGACTCCTGCCCTGATTCAGTGGAGCCCGCTGACGGGGGGAAAGCTTCGTCGCGGGACCCTATAAACAAGGGCCTTGGGAGACCAGAGAACAGAACTGATCTGAACCCAGACGGGCGGTAGTAACAGCCCCTCCCCACAGCAAAGCCAGTGGGCGCACCATCTTGCCCCAAGGCGGAGAGCTAACACGCCGCTCTCGACCCCCATCTAGTGGCGACAGGCTGTAACTGCAACTGAATTCTACCACCATGAGAAAAAACCCTCCTCTACCATCCAGCAATTTATAAAAGCCCCAGACCAGAAGGAAAACAATAAAAACACAGAATTAAGTCCTGAGGACTTGGAATTAGGTAAACTAAGTGATAATGAATTCAGAGCAGCTATAATCAAAAAACTCAATGAGGTAGAGAGAAAGATAGAGAAACAAGCCGAGTTCTGGAGTTACTTCACAAAAGAGATTGAAATCATAAAGAAGAATCAAACAGAATTACTTGAGATGAAAAACACAATGGACCAGATAAAACAGAATACGGATTCCCTGAATGCCCGTGTAGACAATATAGAGGAGCAAATCAGCATAATCGAGGACAGACAGGCTGAATGGCCCAGAGAGAGAAGAAAGAGAACTAAGAATTAAAAAAATGAGGAAAATCTCCGAGAGATAATGGATTCAATGAGGAGTAAGAATACATAAGGATCATAGGAATTCCCGAGAATATGGAAAAGGAAAATGGAGCAGAAAGTGTGCTTAACGAAATTATTGAAGAGAACTTCCCAAATCTAGGATCAAGGAGAAATGTGTGTAGAGGAGGGTTTTAGATCTCCTAGATTTGTCAATGTAAAAAGACCACCACAGGCACATAATAGTAAAGTTGGCAATAGGAATGATAAGGAAAGAATACTCAGGGAAGTAAGAAAAAAAAGAGAATAACCTATAAAGGAGCCCCTATCAACTGTCAGCGGATTTCTCTACAGAAACCCTACAAGCTAGGAGAGAATGGAGTGATATATTCAAAGCTTTAAAGGATAAAAACCTTCAGCCAAGAATACTCTATCCAGCAAGAATTTCCTTCAGATATGAGGGAGAAATTAAATCTTTTCCAGACAAACAAA